CGACCTTCATCCACGCAGACCGGAGCGTTGGTTCTGCTCCGACCTTCGGTTCTGCGCCAACCATCATCCACGCAGACTGGAGCATCGATTCTGCTCCGTCCTTCATCCACGCAGACTGGAGCATCAATTCTGCTTTGTCCTTCATCCACACAGACCGGAGCATCGGCTCTGCGCAGACCTTCATCTAGGTGGACCGGAGCAACGGTGCTGAGCTTGGTGGAAATCTCCCCGTCTGATTCAGGAGAGCCTGAACTCAAACGCACAGTGAGGTCAGAGACAAAAAGAGCAAAACTAAAGTGACACCGAGCGGAAGGAACTCACTCCTGATGGCAGCGTCCTGCTCTTCGTGTCCCTGAAGCTCATCCTCAGTTCCTTTAGTCTGAAAAAAACACAAACAAACAAAAAAAAACGAGTCAGGACTCGGAGGATCTCTTCTGGAGTAAATGAATCAAAACGTCTCACTTTGGGTCGCCACTCAGGCCCGATCGGACTCTTCCTCGGGGAGGAGACTTCTTGAGCCTCAAACGACAGGTTCGCCTGCAGATATTGATTCGTTTTAAATAAAAGACGTGCACGGTCAGGACAAACGTGCACAAACTTCAAAATGCAACAGAACGTTCCGGTTTTAGCAGATTCTGTTAGAGCTTCGTTAACAAAACGTGCAAATAAACGGTGAATCGGAGCAAACAGCGAGTCGCTCAGTTTGCACTGATCCGTCATAAGTCGGCTCGTTAACCGAGCGAAGCTTCACATCAGCTGCAAAAATATCACATTCCTAAACGAGCGCAGCTGAAAAAAAAACGTTCCCACTGCAAACGAAACACGGCAGCGTTCCTCCTGCATGCACACGTTACCTGGCTGAAACGCACGACGTACTGCGGCGCACGGACCGAGTACACCGAGGCAAAGACCGGCTCCTGGGGGAGAAGACACATGAGCGGGCTGAGGAGGACCGAAACCGTCAAGACCGGGTTTTAAATCGTGAAAGTTTACCCAGAGCCGAAGGCCGACGCTGCCGAGCAGAGAGGTTTCTGATGCTTCCTGCGGAGGACGGCGTGAGAGCGGGCGAAGAGCGGGAAAACAAGATTAATCAGGAAACATTCTGCTTTTCTGCAGAGTGACAGCTGTAGCTGAGCTGCTAAAATACAGCTGGAGCTAAAACCAGCTGAAACCACATCAGCTAAAAAAATTTAAAAAAACAACTAACCTCGGCAGAAACCACAGTAGCTAAGACGCCAAGACACAAAGAATCACAGAAGCTAAAAAGTAACAAAACCGCTGCAAAGACCACATCAGCACAAAGCTAAAACTGGTAAAAATAGTAGCAATAAAGCTGAAACAGCAGAAACCACAGCAACTAAAAATGCAACTCCTAGCTAAAACCACAACAGCAAGAAAGCTATTCAGCAAACACCACTAACTAAAAAGGTAACCCCTCGCTAAAATCACAGAAGCTAATAAGCTAAAACTCTGAAAAAAATAAAATAAATAAGCAATAACCAAAAATCTTAAACTAAGCAAAAACCACAGTAGCTAAGACGCCAAGACACAAAGAATCACAGAAGCTAAAAAGTAACAAAACCGCTGCAAAGACCACATCAGCACAAAGCTAAAACTGGTAAAAATAGTAGCAATAAAGCTGAAACAGCAGAAACCACAGCAACTAAAAATGCAACCCCTAGCTAAAACCACAACAGCAAGAAAGCTATTCAGCAAACAACACTAACTAAAAAGGTAACCCCTCGCTAAAAAAACAGAAGCTAATAAGCTAAAACTCTGAAAAAATAAAATAAAATAAAAAATAAGCAATAACCAAAAATCTTAAACTAAGCAAAAACCACAGTAGCTAAAATGCCATAACCAGCAAAAACACATCGCTAAGGGGCTAAAAATCTGCAAAACACAGTTGCTAAAAAGCTAAAACTTAAAGAACCACAGAAGCTTAAAAAAAAAAAAATAACGGTTCAAAGACTACAGCAGCAAAAAGCTAAAATAGGTAAAAAATCAGAGTAGCTATAAAGCCAAACCACAGCTAAACCACAGTAGCAAGAAAGCTAAAACACAGCAAAGACCTCAGCAGCTTAAAATCTAAAATTCAGCAAAAAACACTGTAACTAAAAAAGGCAACCTCTCGCTAAAACCACAGTAGCTAATAAGCTAAAAATCTGAAAAAATACAAGACCAAAAAGCTTAAACCACAGCTAAAATCACAGTAGCAATAACACTCAAATTCAGCAAAACCGCAGCAACTAAAAAGGCAATGCATAGCTAAAACCACAGTACGTAATAAGCTAAAACTTTGCAATTAAAAAAACAATAGCTAAGAAGCGTAAACTATGCAAAAACCACAATAGCTAAAATTCCAAAAACCAGCAAAAATGCATCACTGAATAGCTAAAAATCAGCAAAACACAGTAGGTAAAAAGCCAAAACAAGAAAAATACAGTTGCTAACAAAAAACAGCTAAAACTAAAATCAGCAAAACGCTACATAAAAATGTTAAACCGTTAAAACAGTAGCTAAAAGCAAAAACTAGCTAACAGTTTACAGAATCCTAAATCAGAGCAGCTCAAAAACGTGATTTAAGGGTCGTAAAAGACGACGTTTAACAACCGAATAAACCGTCTGTTTGTGTTCCGGAAAACGTTTAAACAGCCGAACCGTACGAAGTCTATAAACACCGACTGGTTCGAAAATATTCCCAGCAACTCGAGTCTAATCCCACAGCAGCCGCATACCAGAACCAGAATCTGGTTTCAGAGGAATGAAAAACAGCCGCGTCGACCGACGGACGGACCTCTCTCCAGATCCACGCTGAAAAATCAACTGTGACCACATTAACTACAGAATTAAGTTAAAGATGGATTATTAATTAAAATGTGTTTCAACTCTCATGCACTGAAAAACAACACTTTTATAAATGGCAGTGATATTAATATTATATTATATATTATATTATATTATAATAACATATTAATTTAGATTAAAACTAATTAGAGAAACTGCATTGCTGAAAAACAGCTGAAATTAGCTAAAAGCATGCTGAAATGTAGCTGAAATGGAAGAGCAAGCCCAAGTTAACAGAAGCAGAAATTAGCATAAAAATTAGGAAATCAGCTATTAAAAATAAAAAAGCTGAAATGAGCCAAAAACAGCTATTGGTAGCTTAAAAAAAAAAGGCAGAAATAAGCTTCAATTAGCAGAAGTTAGTAGAGCAAATGTTTGGCCAATTAGGCTGAAAGAAGCAGAAATGAGCACAAATAAGAGATTATCTGTAAAAAGCTGCAATAAAAAGCAGATGAATAGTAGCTAAAATAGCAAAACATAAGCTTAAATTAGCAGAAGAAAGTGGAGGGAGCACAGTTTTGCCCATTTAAGCCTAAAAAGGCAGAAATGAGCACAAGAAGTGGAAATTATCTGAAACAAAAAAGCAGAAATTTGCACACACGCACACAAAGAAGGACGAATAGTAGCTAAAAATTAAAAAAAAGAAGCTTAAATGACCAGAAGGAAGTGTAGAGTGTATAATTTTGCTGAATTAGGCTGAAAAAAGTTTAAATGAGTACAAAAGATGTGGAATTTGCTGAAAAAGCTAAATTTAGCATAAAACAGCAAAATAGTAGCAGAAATGGCTGAAATCTGTAGAAATAAGCTGAACGCAGCATAACAAGCTGAAATTAGCAGAAAGAAGTTAGAAGAAGCACAACAATGTTCTAGTTAGCAGAAAGAATCTGTAAGGAGCGCAAAGCAGCTGAAAAGCAGCTGAAATTAGCCAATTTGTAAAATGAGCTCAATTCATTTTCAGGCAGAAAAGGCTAAATATTTCAAAAAGCTAAAGTTGCACCAATACCCTTCTGAATGAGCTGAACATTCTGATTTGTCAAAATAGCTTTAAAACTGCGGGACGAGATATTTGCCCCAAAATGTCCAGAATAGAGACAGTAAGTATAAAAAATATTCACAGGACTAGGGGTGCCCCGATTTATCCGCCCAGATTTCCTTCGTTTTGAGAAACCGGCCGATACTCGGATTAGTTTTAACATTTGCCTGAACTTCATTTATATTTCAGAAACTCTACCTCAAGGCCAGTTGAAACAAGTTTGTACTGATTCTAGAATATTGTTCAAGGGTCTGTTTTTCAATAAAATAAGACCGGAACATTGAAGGTGCGTTGCGACCCAATAACTCCCGACAGCGTTGACTATGAAACAAAATCGGAATCGGCAGGTCAGACTTTTTACAAATCTGTGATCGTCCAGAAAACTGCCATCGGCGCACCTCTGTGCAGGACCCCTTGCTGCATGAACGCTTCACAACATTCACACGGCAAGGGGACGTCCAGCTCCTGGCAGAGGAGCCGACTGAACGAGCTGAAAGTGCCGAGTCGTTTCGTACCTCACTTTCTTGTATTTTCTGAGCGCAGCCTGCCGAGACGACCGCACTTCTCTGGGTTTGGGGTTGTTCATCGTCGACCTTCCTCTCGTTCTCTCGCTCGTCTTCGTGCCTTTAGGACAAGTCGGAGCAAATACAAAACATGAAAACTATAAAAAGATTAGAATAAAAATGTGTTTCGTCCATAAAATCCTCCAGATTGTTGTGATTTTAGCCGATGGGTCTGGTTCAAGCGTCTTACTGGCGTCTCCATGTTGAGTCGAAGCGGTTTCTCTCGCAGGAAGCGTCTCCGTCCTGTGGCGTGGTCCGACGGCGCCCGTCCCGCAGAGCGTCCGGTTCTGACGAGGGTCCGGTTGGTGTCCAGGCGACGGTTTCCCTTCCGATCCGAGCCCTCTGTCTCCACGGCGTACCCGACGTCTCGCGCCTCGCTTCGGCTTCTTCGGTCGTCCCGAACGTCTCCGCTCCTCGACCTCGTCCAGCGTCCCGCTCGTGGCCGAACGGTGCGTCCAGCAGACCTGCGTCCGGCCCGCTCCAGTCCAAGCGCACGGAGCGGTTCTTCTTCAGGATCCCCTTCAGGCCCGGTTCAGAGCTCTGTGAGCTCTGGTGGACCGGGTCGGGCTCCGCAGCGTCGGGTTTTAGCTGAGACAGACGCACCTCGCTGGGTCTGAGGTTAGTGGACGAGACGTGGTGCCTGCTGGACAGATGGGGGCCCAAACTGAAGGCGGGGAGCTGGACCGGGCCTTGCTGCAGCTAAAGGGGACATGAAGACACGAGTTCGTTTTTCTTCAGGAGCAAGAATGTTCATTTTCCTGCCACTCACCAGACTGACCTCCTCCACCGTGATGGGCTGCGTGCGGTACCGAGACCCCTTCTGCCTCCGCCGTTCTGGAGGCCCGTCGGGGGGACCGGACCCTTGCCTCCCAGGGAGAGACAGCTTGTTGAAGAGGGCCAGCTTCTCCCTCATGCTCATCTTGCAGCTCTCGTCTTCATCCTCCTTCGGCTCCACGGGCGCAGACCGGACCCCCGCTGGTGTCGGAGCGCTGAGCAGAGTCAGAAGGTCAAAGGTCACGGAGACTGAGCGGTACCAACAGCTAAAGCAGAGTTCTGACCGCGGAGCCAGAATTCACATCATCAGGTTCAAACTTCGAACATTTATGAGCCAGAACCTTCGGCTCCGTCCAGAACTGTGAGCTGAGAATTTTACTTTTTGTACCTTTTAGAGTTTTTAATCATTTATTTATTTTCAGCTCAGAATTAAATTCAAATCCCTTCAAGTTGTCTAAAATTATTGTTTTCTAAAATCTTCTTCAGCATATTTAATCTATTTTTGTCTTCTTAAACTTTTAGCTCTTACCTTTATATTCAACTCAAGCTTCTAACTAAAAATTTGATCAATTTACAACTTAGCCACAACTTAGCACATTATAGCTTTTAGCCACAACTTAGCACATTATAGCTTTTAGCCACAACTTAGCACATTATAACTTTTAGCCACAACTTAGCACATTATAGCTTTTAGCCACTGTTTAGAAGAATACCTGTTTTAGCCACAATTTAACAGATTAAAGCTTTTAGCCACCAAGTACATAGCTTTTAGAAACTATTTAGATTATAGCTTTTAGCCACCACTGAGCACAGTATAACTTTAAGCCACTGCTTAGCACATTATAGCATTTAGCCACTGAGCACAATATAGCTTTTAGCCACCATTAAGCACCTTATAGCTTTTAGCCACCATTAAGCACCTTATAGCTTTTAGCCACCACTGAGCACCTTATAGCTTTTAGCCACCACTGAGCACATTATAGCTTTTAGCCACTATTTAGCAGATTATAGCTTTTAGCCACTGCTTAGATGATTATGGCTTTTAGCCACTTTTTAGCAGATTACAACTTTTAACCACTATTTAGCAGATTATAGTTTTTAAAATCACCACTAAGATGATTATAGATTTTAGCCACTATTTAGAAGATTACAGGTTTTAGTCAATATTTAGCAATTTATAGCTTTTAGCTAAATGTTTAGCTGATTACAACTTCTGTTCTTGAACTTTATTAATTTATTCTTTAAGTTTCAACAATCTTTCAGTTCTGACGGGATTTTCACAGATTTTGATGTAATTTCTCAGACTTACGTTTTTTTAATCCCACCCCCTCTCACCTGATTGCCTCCTTTTCCTCGCAGGTGATCGGCTGAGTAAGGAAGCGAGGGTCGTTGCTTCGGCGCGTCCTGCGTTCCTGAGCAGAACCTGCTGAGCGAGGCTTCAACGGAACCGGGACCTCAGGGGCAGCGGACTTCTCCAGCTCCTGCAAACGAGGCAAAAAGTAATTAATTGATTGTTTAATTAATTAATTTTACATCTACAACACTGAACAAGTTTTAAATCCTCCATAATTTATTAATATTTTGCCTCCAAGCTGCCAGATTTGATCACTAACCCTCCAGGTGTTCTGAAGACGTTCAGAGTTCTGTTGGACTTTCATCAAACGCCGACACATAATCTGACGTCAAACCAACTCTCATCTGTGGCGTTTTTCAAAAATCCACATAAAAAGTGAACAGACTGTTTTTGTGACAGGCTGCTGAAAACTAAAGATCCAATTTAACAGCAGTTCTGTGGCAAGACGTCCTGCTCCGTGTGCCTTTCTATGCTCGACTGTTCAACCGGAGCCACAAAAACCCAAACCACAACTCCCACAATGCACAGCAACAAACACCTGAAGGGGTAAAACATTAATCCCAACATCAGCCTCCCGGGTGGGAATCAGAACGTCTTCGGCTACAGAACAGACAGTTCTTGTGTTTTTTAAAAACTTATCTAAACCACTTCAAAAGGTTTCAGCGCCGACCGGCTGCTAGAAACAAACTGTAAACAAACACGGGACGACTCGAGACTTTTGTCTGAGCACGTTTTGTCAAATCATAACTTTGGTGGCAGCTTAGGAAAAAACAAAAAGGCGGCGACGCTCCTGACTTCATCCATCTGTCGTTACAGATGAACAGACGTGAAGTTGGCGAAAGAAGCCGATGAGTCACGCCGCGAGCTGAAGCCCGGCGGGTCGGAGCGTAACCAGAGACCCTCCGGCTTCGGTTACCTCGCTGCCTTTTCTAATTATACCGCAGCTGCTGCCGGCTAACGGCACATTTTCACCTGAGCCTTCAGAGCCGACGCTGCAGGAGCCGAAACGTTCGGCCTGACTCGACTGAATCTGTAAATTTACAGTTTAGTTTCAGGCCGAGCCGAGCCCAAACGTTTCGGCTGTTCGACACGTTAGGCTCCTCTTAGTGGTTTTATGTGCGGAAAGGAGAAATGTGTACGTTTCCAGAGGAGCGACGATGAAAAACTCACTTTGAACAAAGACATCTTGGCCGCCACGCTCATCTCGGCTCGGTCGTCTGTTTTCACATCCGCTGCGAGAGAAAAGGTGGAAGAGTGAGAAAGAAAAATATAAAAAATGTCTCCGGAGCTGAGGAAACACGTTCAGTCAACGCTAAACTCAACCGTGTTGTTAGCTTTCGGCTTCTTTTGTCGCTCCCTTCTTCACGAGGAGACACAAAGTCGCTTGACGAACGGTTTAAACAGATTTCAGCTGCAGTTGATACAAGAATGAGAAAATTGTTTCTGTGCAGCTTTAATCAAGTTCATCTTTCTTTATGTTCCAGCAGCAAAACAGCTGATTCGTTTCTGCAGCTCGTTCGGCAAATAAAGTCTGATCGTTGAGCAGATTGTGTTTTTATTTATTTATGTTGAGGTCAAATAAGAATAGATCGGACCTGGAAGCATGTCAGACATAAACCTGTCAGCGCTGAGGAGGAGGGTCAGCGCTGAGGAGGAGGGTCAGCGCT